TGGTGGAGGCACCATCCCTGGAGGTATTTAAGACGTAGATGTGGTACTTACAGACTTTCTGAAGTTGACAACTAGGATGATTTCAGAAATGATTGTAGAAAAAGGGCTAATTCCCAAGTTATAAATTCTTAACTTGAATCCGCTGTCTATTATTGATTGTAACTATTTCCATTGCAGTTTCTGAAAAACTTAAATCTTTAGATTACTCTAACAAAGTGGCTTTTGGCCAGTTTTAGTTGTTTTACCTGCAGAAGATCTGGCATGTAGCAGTTGTTAATACCCCCATTCCCCCCCCCCCTTTTTTTTTTTTAATAGCTGTGGTTTTAGTTGGCAATTACTTTTGAAAAGGAACTTCTCTGAATTTAAGGATTCCACATTTACCAGTTCTGCATATGAAGTTAAAAGGAACAGTAGACATAAAGCTGACTAATTTGTTTCTGGTTCAGGATTGTGTAAAGACAGTTTAGAAATCCATAGACCACACGTTTACATGAGAAAAAAGGGTTAGGGTTTTAAGATACGGTATTTATGATACCCTACAGAGAAGTATACTGCAAACACATAGATAGTTTTAAGTCCATTTGGAGTCCTCTGGAGATGGTGGGACTTTTTTCACATGCTGTCAGAATCTTGCTGGATTGAATCCTAGATGATTAATGCCTGTTTTCCAGGCCTGCTTAGTTCTGTGCTGTTTCTAGGCTTTGCTGTGCTGCCCTGCAGTGAAACTCAATACACGGTTTAGTTTCAGAATGATCATAAAACCAATTTTTAGTTAATTATTGTAAATTAGGCTTGTCCCTTCACCCTTCTTCAGCAGTATGCCCTCATCTCTTCCTTCTCTGACATCTTCATTGCTATGAGACCATAATCACCATGTTCAATGACTAAGCTTCTGGTATATCAAAAACTGAAGTACCAGTGTGAGTCTTCTAACCAAAAGGAACACTGGGCTTTTTTCTACAGTAACTAAGAAATTAAGTCCTGTATTATTGGAATTAAAGTGTCAGGCCCTCATGTCCACATTTCTTTTTAGGAACTATGAAAATTACTTTATCAAGGCACAGAAAGTCAGACGTCTCATTGCCGATGACTTTGTGAAGGTTTTCAGGAGTGGTGTTGATATTTTACTCACTCCTACCACTCTGAGTGATGCAGTACCGTATATGGAATTCATCAAAGAAGACAACAGAACCCGCAGTGCGCAAGATGACATCCTAACACAGGCTGCAAACATGGCTGGTGAGTAGGGACAGGAATTCAAGTGTGTTTTTCCCGGCCAAGTCATTTATACTGTCCATAGCCTTCAGCTATTTAACCACTTCTTCAAAGATATTTCACCCCTGCATTGTAAGTCTCACAATGATAACTATGTATAAAGATAGTTTGTTTATTTATTAAATGCTTTAAAATGTAAGACTAGATTTTAAAGTGGGGCACCTTGGACCTTAGTGCAGGCTGCAGGTAAGATAAATCCATCCAAGTTCCAGAGAATGAAATCTCTTTTTAAAGGAGAGTTGATTATTGTTTCAGAGGATGCTGACTCCTTGAATCACTGTAATTCATTTCTTGTGATCACCTACCAGTATCCTTACTTCACTGACTCAAATTATTTTAACTAATCTTTTTCCTCTATGTAATTTTTTTCAGTTTCTCATAGAGTTGTTACAAAAATGACTCCAACTGGATTTGTTTAATAATAAATCTTCGCATGTGTATCTCTCTTTCAGGACTGCCAGCCATAAATGTTCCTACAGCCCTTTCAGAGAGAGGCTTGCCAGTTGGGCTTCAGTTCATTGGACGTTCATTCCAGGAGAAGCAGCTTCTCACTGTAGCCAAATGGTTTGAAAAACAAGTAAAATTCCCAATGATCCAGCTAGAAGAAGTGAAGACACATGACCATGGTGGCCTTCAGCATCAGAAATCTGCTTCCATCTCGTAACATGGGACTTGCTACTCAGCTAAAGCAAGAAAGCTCTGGGGATGGTCTAAAAATGTATTCCTGCAGTTAAATCTCTGTTGTGGGAAAAGATCATCCTTTTTAAGAAGACTATATGCAGTAATGCAGGATGGAATCACAACAGCTTGTTACCGTGTAATTAAGGCAAAGTGAATCATTAAGTAAACGTGTCTGTGTTTATTAAAAACCATTTCTAACTGATATTAAAAACACCAAGTTGAAATTATGTATCTTGTGGAGCTGCTTTTTTCCATCCCCAGAGGGTGTGCAAGATATCTAGCCCATTAATGAACTAAACTGAACTTTCATGTGAAAATTGTATGATTGCCAAAGGGCTTGGTTTCCTTCTGGCAACAACCAGACAAGCTGTTTTGGAACAAAGGTATCAACGATCTATTCACCAACAGGTAAATACAAAAGGAAACAAGGGAATAACATATAGATAGTTCATTAAAAGAACAAACAAAAACCTACTTCTAGCGAACTCCTGCAGGAGGTGAAATAACCTCCAGGTTTATAAATCATGCAGATTACTCTGGTTACATCCGTTGTAAGAATGATTCGTTCCAGATTTCTTTTGGAGAAAGATGGCTAGTAGTCCTTGAGTGGTTATTTTATTCTCCCTTCATCACTGTTCTTTATAATCAGCACTTAAAATGAATACTTACTAAGAAAAAAATTATCATCTTCAGTGTAACTCTCCATAAGAGTCATACCACCTGTTCCTTCGTGGACAGTCATTCAATACAATAGTAATTTGAAACAAATTTCAAACTGTAATGTTGGTAGACTGGAAGACCAACGAAACAACTAATAACCTGTTTTGAATGTTGTAGCTTCTGTTTTTGGAAAGTCGAAAAGGTACGAAGGATTAAGTTTGTGAATTTGTTTTTGCATCAGATTGGATTTCAGTCATAGGCTACAGCCTGCACAGATGTAAAAAGTGTGCAGTAGGGGAAGTGATTGAGGTGTAGTCTGATATGGTAACATACAGAATCTTACTGAATTACATCCTGTCTTAAACTATATTGTCACATATAAAATAAAAATCACCTTATTTCTAAAAATTGCAAATGAATTGGTGAATTTTCCACACCCCAAAGTGAGCTATTCCAATACTTTTCACAGACAATTAAAGTGGTAGACAATTAAAAATCCCACATGACTCAAATTTAAAAAGTAAAATTGAATTTTTAAATATTAAAAATCAAGGTATACCTTGTTTCTAGTCTGATGCTATCTGGCTTTTTTTCCTAGAACAGTTTTCAGGGAACTTGCTTTGTCTGTCCGTGGGTGACAATGGAGCGGGGATCCCAACGGACTGTTTTCACCATTGTCTTGTTCAATAACTTAGGTGTGCTCTAATCATACTGTCGCTGTGGGATTCTTGTCTTACAGCAGCTTGCTGACCAGTCTCTCAGTGAGGTTATCCGTTATCCTAGTTGGAGTACCTGGATATGTACTTGGAATACCCGCTCCTTGATTTGCAGTCACGTCCCAAACCCAGATCTACCACTCGCTGGTTTTAGAAGGAAAGGTCAGTGTCTTTTGCCCAGAGTTTGAGATAAAATCCTGTCTGTGGAAAGCATTCCTGGAGGGACATGAAGAGTCTGGGAATGTTACTCCCAGAAGAGAACAAGCAGAGAATTGCGCTTTCCTTGGAAATTAATTCTGGACTGACTTCTGGCCCAGAGGAAAATGCCTGCTTATGCTGGGCAATCTTTCTTTTTAAACTTCTCCGATGTTAAGAGAAATCTGATGGAAAAATTGGATCAAGGCAAAGATCCCAACTCCACATTTGCCAAGCAGCCAGAGGATGGGTAGGTGAAGGGGAACTGTGCTCGCACCTGCGCTACATTTTTTTTAAAGCAGGGCTCTGATTCCAGGCTTCAGCATCCTCTAAAAGAACATTCAGATGATCAGAGCAATTGGCTGTTCTGATACATGTTCTTCAGAGTTTCTTCCGTTGGTAGATTTCTGAGTGTAGAATAACCATGCAGTGAATTACACAGTAAAGAAGGTACCAGCCAGAGAAGTGGATATCCATTCTGCCACTCTGAATAGCAATGCATTTATAGCTTTATGTTAGTGGTAGAGACCCATCTTTGAAAGGTCGTAAAGAGTTGAAAACAGAACTCCTGGGTAGTTACTTAAATTTCTGGGCTTTTAGATTGAAGGTAGCCCCAAACAAGGCTTCTGCCCTGCTCCCGCTCCCAGCCGTTTTGCGTTTTGGGGGACCGTATACTGATGCACTTTCTGTCCTCTCTTACCTAAAGCTGGAATTTCTTCAAGCCGGAGGTGAGAGTTTGGGAACCAGCATGTTCGAGCAGCTTCAGAATGTAAGCAAGAGTTCCTCAAATTGTGCAAGAGGATATCTAAGAGACTTTTACTGTCTTCGTATTAGAAAACCATTTTGAAGTAGTTGACTCTGGGCCCTTCAGCAGTTCCCAAAGTAGTCTAACACCCCAGCTTACCTGTAGATAGAGCTGTTGTGAGGGGTATGTCTGAGTGGAGCTTTGTGCAGCTGCTACTGGTGCCAAGTTGTGGCTCCGGAGTTATAAATGGTAAAGTTTCTATGATGGATAACTAGACTCTTATAACCCCTTGTTACAGAAGTAGAGGAATTCCAGGGAGCAGGAAGGTCTGTGGGTGAAAAAAAAAAAAGGCAAAAAAATGACTGCCTATACAAACAATTTGTACAGCTGCCTTGAAACACTATTCACTGAAATAATGGAATTGAAAGTTTTATGGCATTACAGCGTAGCCACAGCAGGGGGTAGGTGTAACCTTAGCACAGTGAGCCCAGGTAATTCCAGTGTTTCCTGAAGGAAACAAAAGCTAGAGATTTACCAAACAAGCAATCTGCTTAAATGTTTGGGGGTGCAAAATTTTTTCTTCAGGTAATGAGAAACTCTAAGGACATGTGTAGTGGAAAAGTTATTTTTGAGAAGAATATTAAGAGCTTTTTCTTAAGATGTTTTTAAGTACAACTGTAATCCAATGTTGAAGTTTGTCCAGTTTCCACGTACATTTTTTTCCTTCACTCTCCTTAACAGACTTACAGTAAGAAGAAAATCAAAGCAAAATTTAACCTCACTGCTGCAACTTCTCTGTTTCTGCATTTCTCAGTTTTCAGGCACTGGGCACTTAATAGTTACTGTAACTTCATTGTAGCTTCCCCTTACATGGTGCTAGTCACTTCTCCATTGCTTTTATAATTCACCTCGGAACTAATCTCTCTGGGGAATGGTCTTTCTAGCTCACCTGGGGTGGCCCGGGGGCCCCACCTTCAACTCTGCCCCCAGAATACTGAGAGCAATGCCACTGGACTCACATACAGGAGATGGGCAACTGAGAAAGGATGAAGAGGTGTGCACAGCATGTCTAAAAATCACAGCTAGGGTTATACAGCAGTCATACTTCATGTTAAACTGGTGCCCGCAATGACACCAGAGAGGGCAGGGAAATAAGCAAAAAAAAGTCAGAGGAGCAGAAAAGGTTTATCTAAGTTTGTTATTTTTCAGTATGTCCCTCAAACAAAGAAGAAGGTATTCAGTTACAGGAATGTTAGAAAGAGCCAGGAAATTAAAAACAGTCACAACCATCTTAATTAGCTTACCACACCTTTGCTTGACTAATGTCCAGATGCAATTAAGAGACTCCAAGCTAACATATTTTTTTTGTGAACAAAAGAAAGGTTTTTTTCCCACCCAGCATGGGCATCCTCCCATGCTCACTGTTGAGCAGTGATAAAAGGTATCTTTAGCTCAGCAGTGCGGGGCATTCAGAGAAAGCAGCAGGAACCCAGCCAGGCGGCTTTGCCTCGTCCTGCGTGCAGCTTTATACCCTGGGTTTTGGTCCAATACCCATACAGTGAGGGTGTAAGTGCTGTCAAGGGTCACAAGCAAATGCTGCGGCACAACATGCAGAGAAATAGACTTCAAAGTGCTGGGAACTGATTTTTTTTTTTTTTTTTCAGCTAGAGGGGCTGTTTTTGTACGTCACGGTGTTGGTTGGTGGATGGATTTGTGTGGCCTTGCTGTACTGATCGTGACATGTGGTGGACAGGTTGCTGTCATGTGTGCCAGCTCAGACACCCGAGGCAGCAACGGAAACTCCTGGGTTGGATGCCTTTCTTCAGGGGAAGGTCCATGGCAGTGAGTATAAAATATGCAGTGATAAGGGAGCAGGGGGGGAGATGGAAAGTGGTCAGTACTGGCTAGCAGCAACTGGGCACCTGCCTACACTGTAGCTGAACTGGGACAGCTGCTGAGTTGCAAGTGCTGTTTGCCAACACTAACCCCACAAGCTCCTGCACTGCAGTATGTGGAGTAAAAGGACTAGGCTCTTCATTGTGCCACCCGAGAGGGGACATTGCAGCTTGGGAAGAGACACAGCAAGGCACAGAAAGGTTGTCTAGGCAGGCAGTGAAACACCAGGAGGTAGAAAACACATGGAAGGTGGGAAGGATTAAGTGTCATAGAAGCTGGTAACTCGTTTGAGAAGCCAGAGACTTAGGAGAGGAAGATTAAAGAGATAAAGGTCAGGGGGATGAGGAAGCAGAAACATTCTGGTGAAGGAGGGGCCCCAACTTCATGTTTCTTAAGTTGAAATCTTTGAAGGTGGGTACCTTTATGAATTGTACCTCTCTGAACTAGAGAGTCTGCCTGCTTGATTTAGTCCAAGACCAGAGTGTTTAAAACTTGCATTTGCAATCTTTTAGTCCCAAAGTGAGTGCTATTCAGGTACACATAATGCTTGGCACAGACACATAATATGCTTGACAAAGATCAAAAGGAAAACATTTTATTAACAATACACTTCAGGAAGCCTAGGAACATACTGCAAAAGGGACCTCATGAGCTCGATTTCTCTTCGTAGGGAACTATTTCATACAGTCATCTCCATAAATTTATTAACATCTGTCTAAAGAGTATTTTGGTTTCTTTCTCCTGTTAGTATTCCAGAACCTCTGTTAGAAACTTTAATCACAGCTGTGGAGCACACACCTATTTGCTCAAGGCAATATTGTTCTTTTGTTTGAATATACCTTCTCCTTGTGTTTAATTCACTCTTGTATTTATAGAGCACAGCACAGTTGCATTCTTCCTTAGCCTTTATTCTGCTAGGACGAATAAGTCAAGCTCTGCCAGTTTACTCCTGTATATTAGAGTGCCCTGTGCTAATCCCTGTAGCCGTTCACTGCACCTGCTCCAGCTGAATCCATCTGTCTTTCAACATGG